AAAATTTGACACTTTAATTGGTTAGTAAAATAATCTTTAGTTGTTTTAGTATTTTCTCAGTTTGTGTTTCTATTTTTAAACCCCATGTCAGTAGACATAAACAGCCAGAATGTGTGCAAACCTGGACTGATTCTAACCTGTCCATCTCTGCCAAGCTCCAGCTCCATCAAGGCGACCGGCCCTCTGTGGTCGGCGCTCCCGTAGCTGTCAGCAGTTTGGAGGTCCACTCTCCATGAGAGGCCCCTGAGAGTGGGCTCCCAGCGACACTGAGCCAGCAGGCTCTCTCTCACTCGTGTTCGCTGGCTCTTCCAGAAGCGGGAGAGAGCAGCAGCCTGCTCAGCAGTCAGCCCGCTGCCACCCTGCCTCTTGGTCTGAGCTGTGAGGAAGGCCTCCAGCTGGGCATGGTCCATGTCTGCTGCAGCGATGGACTTCAGGAATAAGAAGACAGAAAAACGAGGATCAGAAAAAGTTTTCCTTCATTTTTGATCAGTAAGTCTGACACATTCAATAGCTAAATTCTGTAAAATAAACCATATTCGAATTTGATCTAAAATACAGGAATATGAGTCAAAGTTTAACCATTTAAAGTTTATTCAACCATTTTCTCTTATATTGATCATATTATTTAATAATCATTTTCAAGCTTAATTAAATACTTAATAAAATATTAGTGGACAATACTGAAAGACTCAATTTTATTTATCCCTTGGGATTACTCCTTTAGGGAAATTCTGGTCACAGTAGCTTATATAGAGTACAAAGAGTTAAAGCATGATGCCAATAAAGATAAAAATACAAAAGACAATATATTAAGAGTGTATAAACATAAATATAACACATAAATATAAGTATATTGTATAAAAAAGCATAAAAAATTATTGTAATGTCCTGGAATATGTTTCTCTTAGATATGAAATTATCTGCAAGGAAGGGAAGATTACATAGTAGTTGACTTGGATTATTGCACTTGTTCTGTAGAGATGTACTGACCTTATAAATAATTTAAAAAATACACAGGCTACACAGTAGTTGGCATGTATTATTGCATAGTGTCCAACAATAAATGAATGGAAAATAACGTTTACTTATCTTGAAGTTAAAACTCTTCAGTTATTAAAAGGTTATTGCTGTTTGTTGATCTACTTTATAAACAGAAGAGCACCAATAAGATGGGTCCAATTATTTATTTTTAACAGTGTCGTCCTTTTACATTTACATATAAACCTGCAATATAAATACATGAGGATTTATAAATATATTTCAAGTCCAATGTAAAAATAATATGCAGATCCATGCATGTAAGAAGAAGTAAGCAGTTTACGATAAAAAAGTCCTGTAACAATGGAAGGTTGGCAATCAAGCTTTCAAACGCTGAAAGGTGAAACTTAGGATTAGCCTAATAAACTAGCCCCACCCGCCAGCGGCCACAATCATTTTTCCCTGCGAGTGGTCCAGCCTCGATCAATGCCTCAGGCCCTAGAACTGGCTGGCCAATCACAACGCAGAGATGTGTTTTTAATGTCTGGATGCAAAGTGGGCGGGGTTTTGAGCGAGTGACGACAAAGCTGCGCGACGCTGGAGAAAGCACAACAAGGAAGATGGCAACAACTATTGAACAGTTTTCGTTTGACTCAGCTGTGGAATCAGTTTTGGAAGGATTAGACTTTAGGTTTTCGTTAAAAAGCGCGCAGGAAGAGGCTCTACGCTCATTCATTTTTAAGAAGGACGTATTCGCCGTTTAAGCGTCATGCTGTTTGTTTACATTCCCCCACCAGCTTCCTGTCACGCTTCCTACGTCACAGTTAGTTGCGCTCATTGGTCAGAGCGTTGGCCAATAGGCACAGAGATGGTTTGAAAAACAACGGGTTGTTCTCAAAAATCTTCCGATGTCTCATTCATTGAGGCCAGACTAAATTACACATTTAAAATCACATTTAATCTGGTTTATTAGGCTATGGGATTAGTCCAAAACTTAGAAAAAAAATTGTGCCTTAGGGGAGTGGCGGCCTAGTAGTTAGAGCATAGAGGTTTGAAACCCACTCCCGCAGACTGCCACTCTGGGTCCCTGAGCTAATGACCCTTAACCCCACACTGCCACACAAGCATCCCACAATGGCAGTTAGAGTTAATTTCGTTGTGCTGTACTTGTGACAGTATAATAAAAAAATAAAGAGCTCCTTTAGTCAAAGACTTAGACACCCTGTCTGTAAAAAGGA